TATCAATCTTAAAAAGAGCTAAAATGTTCCTTATAAATGGAGTATATTCAAATGTTATGAGCATCTGGAAAATATTACATTAATGTACTCTATCCCAGTGTAGTAGTTACATTTCAAATTTCATTGAATGTATGAAACTATTTTGTGATAAAACTATTGAGTTATATAATAATTTGGCCAAAATAGACTTATAAAGAAGATAGAATTTGAAGATACAAGATATAAATATTAAAAGTTTGTTTATCTTATTTCAATTTTGGCTAAGATTATTAAAATATTGTAGGAAACAATTTTTTAAAATGTAGAATGTCATAAATATAATAGATAGAATGCAGTCTATAAAAAATTGTTATTAGGATATAGAATTAAAAATAAAAATAAGTAATCATTTTTAAGAAAATGTAACTATTAAATATTTGGTAAGAATTATCAGGATATTGATAGAAGAAAATTTAAACGACTATTTTCATAATTTATGCTATAACTTAAATAGAAAAAGATAAAAAATATTTGCCATTTTTTAAAATGCACAATTCTTAAAGCAAAGCTACCAAATTAAAATCAATTTAATCTACTTTTTTCAACAAGACTAAAATTATAAATATACAAAAACATGCGTATTGTATTAATTCATTTAAACTAATTTTATCCTTTATTAGTATTTCATCACACATTTTGGTTGCTGTATATTCTTCCCTTTTTTGAGGGTCACTATATTTTGGAATGTAGGACCTTTTAATAAAACATGCGTCTTCCTTCTCATTCATGCCACATTCAGTGTCTCTACTGTCAAGCTATTAGAACTGTCATTACTTAATACACATTGAACAAATTCCAAATAAAATGAATTTCACCAACACTTCCAGTTTTTTTTTTTTTTGTGGGGGGGGGATCATGTTTTTGGAATTTTAAATTCATTATGAATCTAAGACCCATAAAGAAAATATTCCTCTAAGACCTACTATCAGTTGCTGAGTGTCAACATACCATAAACTCAACAGATTCTTGGTAGATATAGTCAGTATAATATGTAAATAACTCAGTTCACTTTTTAGAAACAACTAAAGAAAGACATTACAATTCAAGACACACAAATAGCAAGCTTTAATATTTTGAGTCATGTACCAATGTTCCAGCAAATTAAATCATAGTCAAGAAAAAATAGAATCTGACCTAACACTTGACAAGGAAATAAACTAAATGTCCAAGCTAAGATATTTAGATAAAAACTTCATCTTCTGGCTTTACCAAGAAGGTGGGGAAATTTTGCTGGATATGTGGACATTAAGACCATAAATACATTCTGCTATAGGGAAAGATATGGAGAATGAATTATCTTTCTTCAATGTACTTTTACAGAGTGTAAATTAAAGATGCAAAAATTTGCTAAAAGATAATATAAGCAATATTTTATCATCAAAATCTTTGTTATTATTAAGAGGAAAGAGCAAAGGATTCTTAGATTTTTTTTTTTTTTTTAATCCTTTTTAAAACCTTGGAAATTTTTGTTAAAAATCTTTGTCTCTCAATGCAGGACCTTAAATATATAGAGGAAATTTGAGTGCCATTTTGTAGTAAAAAACATGGAATTGGAAATTCTTACAAAAATCAGATAATTGTCAGATTAAACTTATTCAGAAATGAATGAAATTATTTTTTAAATGCTTATTTTTTTAGCAAATCTTTGTGAATTGTGTGTATATATATATATATATATATATATATATATATAAGTTTTCCTTCTCCAAGACAAGGCAACCAATCTGTCACACTATTTGCCCATAGCTGGGGAGGAAGAAATAGATTCATAGCTTTCCCAAGGTTATTAGCACGTAAGTGAATGTAATGAACTTGTGGAATTCAAATCTGGCTCTCCGATTCCTCAATCCAAGCCAATATCCATTACTCAACCATGCATCACTCATTTAATTTTATGAAATTTCAAGAAATTCTTTTTGTATCACTTAATGTTTATATTTTTTATAAGGACAAGTCCTCAGAGAATTTGAATAAAAATCTTTTGATCAAAGAGCACCCTGTTTTAAGAAAAAAAAATTTCAATGAATAATGAATTTTTACAGAAATTGTTTTAAAATTTTTTAAACAGAATAATTTATAAACTTTTTTTTTTAATTCTGTATTAATTTGTATCAGCAAATTAATATTGTTATTAAATTAAAACTATTTACTAATCAGAAATGGAAAAGTTTACTGTAATTCAGCCACCTACCAGTATTATTTCTTAAATTTAAATTTTTTGTATGTGTGTATAAATGTGTTGATTTTTGTAAATAAGATGTTCATACACAATCAGATATCAGAAAATAAGTGAAATACCTACAGTAAATTTAAAATTTATTGGTAATTTTCTATTTTCTCAACAAGCATCTTCATAAGAAAGGCTAGAAAGCCAACGTACCTAAAATTTAATATAAATATTAATGCTTAAAATAGTAAAATCTTCTTAAAAAAATCATATACGGCATTCTCATTGTATAATTATATAAAAATACATTCACATTGTATTTGTCATGCAAGTATTTTTCAATCATATTCCTCTTATCAGGCTGTTAATAAATCATCCAACACAAGTGAAAAACACTCCCCTGCATGTTAAAAATGCTTTTCAATTATATTTTAAATTAAAAGTAATATGCTTCTATTCAAATTAAGTAAACTTTAAATTAGCTAATTTTCCTCATTTTATAAGTATATTTTATAAGTATACTTATAAGTATATTATTAGAATATTTTATTTTTGAAAGATTTTTTTTAGTAAAGACACTACAAAACACACTATAAAAACAATTTCAGTATTTTCAGTTATAATAGTTCATAGTTAATATTTAATTGCAGTAAATGAATATATATTAGACTGACACTATGAGATTATCTAGTAATATATTAACGGTGTTAATATATTACACCATTTTACAATGATTTTCAAGGTTATTTTTCAAATAGAAAAAAGAAAAATTTAATGTCAATTTAAACTTTTGGAGTTTAACCTGTAATTTTATATTTTGATGAGTGTAAAAAGATCCTTTTCAGATATTCTGGTAGAAATTTAAAACATCATGAAAAAAAATATATTGGATATAGACAAAAATTAATTTCCAACAACCAAAACCAAACAAAAAATTAATATACACACAAAAGTTGTCACCAGGTAAAGGTACCTGGCTATGTTGAGTATACCCAGATGACAAAAGACTATCTGGTTTCCAGTTGATGAGTGTGAAATTGTCATTGATATAACTTCAGTATTCTATAAGTGTGTGTGTGATGTGTTTTGTTCTTTAGGGCTTCACTGAACTAAAGTAATACTTAACATTGTTCTAGTATATAAAAATTTATGTATCATCTCTTTATATATATATATATATATATATATATATATATATATATATATATGTATGTGTGTGTGTGTGTGTGTGTGTGTGTGTGTGTGTGTGTGAAATGGATCAAATACAACAAAAAAAAAAAAAAAAAAAAAAAGCAGGCAGACTTGATAAAAGAAAATTTTTGAAAGATTTTTCTCTTATTCTAATCATACAAATAACCCCACTTGTGATAATATATTTTATACATTTATTTTTATTACTATAAACATTATTTTTAGTGGGTACACATTTTACTTGGTGTTCGTTTTTTTTCATTTTCTTAAACAATGAAATTAATAACAACCAACCTAATTTCAGGATTTAAGAAAATAAAAAACTAGGATAGCAACTCAAACACATGTACCCACTAAAAAATAATGGTTATAGTAATAAGAAATAATGTTGAATTAATATATATATATATATATACACACACTTAACGTATCATCAAAAACGCCATTATAAATTATAATCTATTTCAACAGGTGTGAATGTATATATATATATATATATATATATATATACACACACACACATTTTATTTCAATTATTTTCAACCTGTTAATTTATTTTACTTTTTTAATTTTATTTTCATTAATTTCTTTTCTCCCATTTTTGTTTGTGTGTCTGTCTTTATGTCAGTTTATTTCTATCTTTAATGTGTTCTCCCAAACACTCACAGATGAAAATCGGTTTGAAAGCTAATTGCCCTATCCCACACGTCTTCAATATTATAAATCTCCAGAAAATAGATTTTCTAGGTCAAGCGTCTAGACTTCCTGCTGTTTTAAAATACTCTGGATAAATGTAAATTTAAACCATTTGTAATTCTGGTCTGAATGATACAGGTATTAAAAACGTACCTGTTGAAATAAATTATAATTAAGTTTTCGATGATGCGTTAAGTTTTTCCTTGATGTAAATAATATTGCTCTGTATTTTGATAGATAGATCCATGAAGAGAGCTCAATGTTTTTAATATTTTATATTAAAACTACCTACTTCGATTATCCTTTCCACTTACATATTTTCAGTGTAAATGACTAAATTACCATAAAAAACATACAAATGTCAATTCAAGTATTCAAAAACAAAGATTTTTGAAAAGTTACCTGAAGACATTAAATGTTTTAAAAACTATATACATCTAATCATTCAATTATGTTCATATTTCTTAATCATAGAAAAAAAATTATACTTCCTAGTGTTATTGCATAATGTAGTTTATTAAAAAACTATGTAAAAATAGTATTAAGTTAATTTGTTTTTAAGTTCCTCTAACAGGCTGTATATATTATTGCTTTAACTATGTCAAGTTAGATACTGTATACTGAAAAAGAAAAAAGAAATTTTTTTACATCTTTTGGCTTAAATACAAAAATTTACATATCTATTTGAAAGCATTCAACAGTCAAAGCAGTTTCATATATAAAATTTGATTTTAATTACCAATATCTTATTAAAATCATGAAATATCAGCCAAATGTAAACATTCATATTATAAAAAATTTGATAGTCTTAAGTTATGAGAATATAAATACATTCTTATTTTCACAAAGTAGAAAACAATCCATAATTACTGATAGCATGAGTTTTCAAAAATGTAAAAAAAATTACCTCTAGGATAAACTCCAGGATCCATAAAAGTTGCCAAGGCAAAATTTGCAATCACAAATAAGGATAATATTCCCTGATAAATAGGGATGGCAATAGAATACTTTTGAAGGTGGTCTGGGACTCTGAAATATAAAACATAAATTAAAAGTTAATATTTCTGAAATAAAGTGTGTGCAAAACTGTCACAATTATGACATATAATATTGATCTAAATCACCAAACTTGGTTAAATTATATTATGTTTGCAGTTTGAGATTCAGATTTTGTGAAGCTGAATCAATTTCAAAGCTTAGTAACAAAAATTAAATTTACCTGATGTTATATTTATAATTTAGTAGTAGAAATAGTAAATAATAATATATCATGACCATAAAGAGTGTTAATAAATTTTTAAAACAAAAATTGTAAGTTTCAAAAATTACTATGTGAATTTTATGACTTTCACATAATTTCAAGGAATAATGTGAAACTGAAAGAAATGAAAAAGTAATATTCGCATCAAGATTTCTTTAATATTTTGAAAAATAGATAATTTTATGAAATAATAAGACAGAACCAAAGCAAACAATGCTAATCTCCTAGGTTATATGCCAGATAATTTCCTCATAAATGAAAAAGGTACAAAGCAAGAGAAATATGGTTCTACTAACAAATGCTAGAATACCATGGACAGAATGTGAACAAGGAAGTTTTAAAGAAAATAGGAACAAGGAAACTAATACTTACAATCAGAAAGAGACTTAAAATTTATGAACCATAAACGAAAAGGGCCTAGATAATTTAGAATTTAGAGCAAACAAAAAAAAAAAAAAAAAAGTATTTGGACACCCACATCCTGATGATAACTTCAATTTATAAATATTGAGCAATTCTGGATGAAAAAAAAGAAAAAGAAACGAAAACTATTTTAAAGACTTCAAAGCAATTTTTACGTGAAAAAAATTCATTCAGATCAATATTTTTCACTGCATTTATTCAGATTTGATTTTTACTTTTAGTTTTAATAATTTTATGTGACTTGCAGAAATTATTTAAACATATTTTTAACCCGAATATTAATATCCAAATGCAAAGTTTTTTTTAAAAAAAAGCATGTTTCTTAAAAAAAAAAACCCAAAACAAAGTATAAATTAAGAATTTAACAATTAAAGTAATTAATTTTAACCCTTTTTAAATCAAAATAAATGAATTATTTCAAACTAGATTTTAAAGTTCTTAGAAACAACTTACAATGTTCTCTGAGAACCCAGGTGCTGTTATTGAATGAGCTAAGTATCTGACAAGTTAATTTTCTAGCAGTTTTAGGATATTCAATTATCGTGACTAAATTTGTCAATCTAAAATTAAAAATGTTAGAAAAAAATATTGAAGTTTTCGTAACAAGAAAATGTATTGTAATCCTAACAAATTGTTTAGTAGTGAAAATTATTGATACTATTTTTAAAAGACATACGCTCAAGTTTTTTTTAACTCATCAGTAAAAAAATGTATTTGTAAGTAAAAACTGTAGTAGGCATTCAGCCGTTATCACTTTTTTTTTTTACCAATATTACTTATGAAATAACTTCAATATTTTATGTACATTATTGTACGTACAGCCAACAAAAATAGTCTATGTGCATATTCAAATTGTTAACCTTTCTTTATTCACCAGGAATGTTCATGCTTTGGAGTCTTACATCATTATCTCTAATTGCATAGCTACAATCCCATCAGGAATTCCGAATTAGTCTATAACACAGGTCATTGTTAAGATGAGCAAGTACCACTTAATAGTAAGTAGTAGCGACCAATGAAACTTACAAGCAACCAACCACCTGTTACCTATCAACAGAAAGTCACAGTCACAGCTCCTATCAGGCAGTAAAAAAAAAAAAAAAAAAAATCTGGGTTTTCATGAGTCTAACCAGTTGGGTCAATTGTTAAAAATAGCATATACAAAAATAGAATAATTTTTAAATTTTCTACAAACATAAAAAATATCAATGGCAGAGAAACAAGTCATTCATTAACCGAACAAAACTAAAGGAAAGTGAAAATAGGTAGTAAGATAGTCACAGTATAAGTAATAAGTTAAAAAAAGGCACCGATAAAAGTAAAACATTTTAGACATAAGTTCCAGCCTATAATGATTAAAAAAAAAATCTTATCGATTTAAAATTACTTGAATGAAATTAATTTAAAAATTGATCTGATTTATTTACAGACGCATAACGTTATTTAAATATTGATGCGTTAAACTTAAAATAAAACATTGCATATCACCGTATCACGCACCTAAAACAACTTCAATCTTCAATTAATGCATTTTTATTTTTGTTTTCAAATATGGGAGAAAAAAATAAAAATCCATTTAAAATTTGTTTTTTTTGCTACAATGCACAACCATAAAAAATGAAAATAAAAAAAAAAAAAAAAAAAACAATTTTCAATTGAATAAATTTAAAAAATAATTGTTATATTTACAATTTAAAAGATTAAAAATAAAAATTATCATAAATTAATTTTTATTTCTTATGAAGATAGCTGACATGACAATTGAAAAATGATAACAATAACATCAGCAGTACATTATTGTTGGTGGGGCATGAAGTCTAAAGGCAACTCATGAGTGTTCACTGTTATTTCGTCAGTAAATAGAAAAAAATCTGAGCGTAAATAAATACTTCAATGCTTTCGCCATTAATGGGAACGGACTTAAACTTTTCAACTGGAAATTACTTGGAAAATGATTATTGAAACCTTATAATTTATAATTATATGGATTTATAATCTCAAAACTAAAAAACAAATGTTATAACAAAACATCAAAATTTTTCTGTATTACTCTAAGTAAATCGAATATAAAACTTGAACCAAAAACCGATAAAAAAAAGGGCTAAATCCAGTTAAATTATTCCCATGCATGGTACAGACAAAAAAGTAATGAGTGATAGCATTTTTCATCACTGATTGCACAATTATTTTAAATAGCTTTAACCATTATGATAATATGAAGATTGAAGAAGACTAAGTAATTAATGAGTGCAGTCTACTTAGTTACGGACTACGGAGGAATTTTCAATTAGAATCGGAACTGATTGTATAAAATAAAATTGTCAAAGAATGAATAAAAGAAGCAGCTGGTTTATGATAAAAAAGATCTTATTATTATGAAACATCAACAGGTACGTATTTATGCTGACATAAAAGATTATATATATATATATATATATATATTCACACACAAGAGATATTATGTGTGTATATATATATATATATATATAAAATAAAAATACCAGTTTTTAGCTGCAAGTGAAAAAGATAACCTGACATGTCATATGATCTGTTAGACTTCCGAGGATTAAATCAGCTGCAGTTAAAATATCATTTATCTACACTGCGAAATGAACGAGATGGTCACAATCGCAGAAAAAGCATAGGCCTCTTCGGGGCAGGAGGGATGCAACTTGTAAATATATGCACATTAAGATAAGATTTAGCAAATGTAAGAAAGGTAAAATGAATGCAAAAGCAATCTAGTGTGTGGTTGTCGTTGATATTGTTAACGTTCCAGGAGACGTGGGTGTGTAGACGGCCTGGCGATAAAGGTAGAAAACGCTGCAATCGTAGAACGTGTCAACAACCATGAAAATATCTTCATCTCAAATAGACAGATCTTAAATAGATATTTTTCACGCATATTTCAAGTGGACGGTATTCAAAACAATAAAAAATGCACAAGAAGAAGCAGTAAACGTTAACAGATTTGTTGAAACAAGTGTTGAAATGTGTCAAAATGGGCGGTTTTCCTTCTATGTGCATGCGGGATGAGAGCAAGGGGGAGATTCGATACTTACATAAATATAAAGAACAATCCCGTGGCACCGAGAAGCAAGGACCAGGCGCATGTTGCTGGCAATATACGAGTCGAAAACTCACAACGTCCCATCTAGTTGCATTTCAAATAAAACCAACAACTGTTTTCGTACGAATGCCAACATTAAGAAAGAAACAAAGATGGCATTCCCATTGCTTTCTTCTGGACTAACTACAGCCGGATAGAAGTTATTATCATTGAGCTGCAAGTAAATCGCATACATTTACATCATTTACAGCAATAATATATGAAATGTCATCATTAAACTAAAGCATATTTCGTACAATGTCTTCATTATAAAAACTAGTTACGAAAGTTGAAATTTTTCAGACAGATCAAAATATTATAGTTGGCGTTGCCAGGCGTTTTAAAGGGTGGCACTTTTTCAAGGAATCACTACGCTTCTAAATCCGTTTCGGCTGTTGCATTGTGGGAATAAAAAGACAGACTCGGGGTGGGAAGAGTACGGGTTGAAAGGTTAAAGGCAAAGACTAAGAGTTAAAGGGGAGAAGTCACTGTAAAGAAAACGCCTGGTTGATATTAAAAAAATTATACACACATATATATATATATATATATATATACACATATATACACATATATATATATATACACACACACACACATGTATAAATATATATACATATATATATATATATATATATATATATAATATATATATATATATCTATATGCATTTGGCCTTGGAAAGTTCACTTCCGTTTGTCAAAGAGAACACATTTCTGTATATCTAAGTCCTATAGTACTATAATGTTTTACTTCTAACTTTTTTTGCGTGCTTACAGGGATATGCGCGCATTACGCACCACTAACACATACCATACCACAACAAAACAATTACAAATGTACATGCAGGACATAACACTACTCAACATGTATATAGACTTTCAATAACGTGATAATTTGTTTCAATATTTTTTGTTACCACAGAATTGTTTCATTATTAATATTAAATATGGGTAATTTAAACCAAAAATCTACAAATAATGATGAAACCGCTCCCAACCGGGGCATATCATCATCTGACTCAAAATTACATCTTAAAGACGCCAGCACGTGTTTACTCAAATTATTTGAGGTAAGTTTATTTACAATTCATATGTAACAATCAGTCACATTTGATTATATATATTGATTAATTATTATTAATGAGAACATTCATTGTACAATTACTGCACCAACTGAATTAAACTTCGCACAGGAGGAGTGTACAAGTCAAGTACGCTTGGATTTTTGTCACGTAGATTAAGAAGAAGAATATTATTAAATGTTGAAACTAAATTATTTTAAAATGCACTTATTAAAATTGTTTGTATTTTCTTTATTTAAAAATTAATTTAAAATAATTATTGAATTTTCTTTCAATAAATACATTGTCGTCTGCTAAGTATGTTTTTTTTTTTGTTTTTTTTGTCTAAGGAAGCTAAGAAATATTCCCTTGTTTACTTTTTTTTAGTTTTAAGGCAATGTTGTCAATTGTACATAATTAGACTAGAGCTGATGCAAAAACTGAGTATGAAATATTGAATCAACATTTTTAATACTCGGACTATAAACTGATAGTCTGAGTATTAAAAAAAATAGTTGATTATTTATTATTAACTTTTAAATAGGGTTAGAATTTGTAAGTAACGTTTGATAGCGTTTTTTATCAGCTAAAAAAAATGTAGTAGAAACAAAACAACAACTTTACAATAAGAAATAAAAAGTACAAGAAAAATAAAGTCGTAGTTAAAAAAAAATGTAAAATCTCGATTTTTGGGAAATAAAAGTGAAATGAAAAGTTAAAACTTAGTTTTAAAAAAATGAATTAAAATAACTTTTTCGTTACTTCTTGCTTCTTGTGTACATTTCTCTTCCTCATCATTTTAAAAACTAGGCTATGGTGTGAAAAGTAAAGTAAATGTAAACTGTAGGCGGAAATTACGATTTTTTATCCATTTATGCATCAATTATAACTTTTTCTTTTTTTATAATATATGAAGATTATGAAGCTAAGGAGATTGAAAAGTAGAATTATTTTGCGAAGTAAATGGTTATGAAATCAACAGTTATAAAAATCATTAAACAAAATTAAAAATATCTCACCATCTTGTTACTTAGTTACATCAATGAAAGAAAAATATCTATGAAATTGATTTATCTTACTAATAATGGAGTACAGCTTTCTTTACTTATTTGTATTTTATTTTTTATGGTGTTATTGGTGAGGACTTTTTTTTAGTGGCATATTGTTTCAAGATTATTCGAAAAAACAGAATTCTCTATCATCACTTACAAATTAAAAGGTAATTAAAGAAATTATGAAGTATTGTTGGAAAACGACTGCACAAAACATTTCTGTGCTTTAATAAGAAGCTTGTAAAAAAACCCCAAAAAAACGTATGTATGGGCCCCTTTCTATACCCTCACTAATAATTGCCATGCAATGACACTACAGTAGCATGGTAATAAGACCTAAACCTTTCTGTAGATAACCACTCCTTTTAGTTTTAAAAGAAGTTCTAGTTTTTTTAATTACAAGGTAAAAGAAAATCTCCATTATGGGATTTTCCCATATACAAAAATAAAAAAAATATCAATTTATCTCGTTGCATGAGGGTCTGTTGTTGAAAGAATTGTCAAGTGAATGTCATAGCAGTTAGTACCTTCTTGAAGAATTATAGTTGAAGCAAGCATGTTTTCGTGTAAAAAGTGTAACATCAAGGGAAACATGGGTTATTTTTGCATGTCCAGAATTGCCTGCTTTAAGTTTGGCATTTGTCCTGATTTGTTTGCTGGTACTATGGTATTTAATTTAAGAATTTAGTGTCCTCATCTCAACTTTAATTGATCTACCGAGAAAAGAAAACAAATGTCAAAAAACGGTTAAAAATTGTCAGAATTTCTGTGATAAGGAGTTACAATTATTTACATGTTTCCTATTGTCTTTATCTTTGTTATCATCACAATGTTTTGGCATTGTGCCTTCATCAGGTGTATGTTCCTCCAGGGAATTCCAAACTGAACCCTTTATTTGGAACGAGAACAGTCTACCCCCAGAGATTAAATAAAGAGTTTAGTTAGGAATTCACTATAGATTACCTGGATTTACATACACCTAATGAAGGCCGGAGAGCATAGCAGCTAAAATGTTGTGATAACAACAATAAAGATGAGACAATATGAAAATTCTGTAAATTCTGGAACAAATTTTATTAATAATTATAGACCATCTACTGAAATGGTGACGAAAGAGTAATAATTCAAAAAAAGATCTACACTTTTACCAAAAAGAGTAAGCAATGAACTTAAACATTTCAACTGACCATTATAATCTCTTAGGTTAGTAATGAATTACTGATCTGTATTGTATAAACTGTTTTTCTAAGCATAGTTTAGATGTGACACAAGGCCAAAAGTGTGGAGCACTCAGTGTGGATCAAACTTGCTACTCAGTCATAACTGATCTAGCAAGACAAACTTGCTAACCATTACAGCATGTCGAGGTGCCAAAAAATGATTTACTAAGCATGACTTAGATGTGGCACAAGGTCGAAATTGTTGTAATGGATCTAGCAAGACAAACTTGCTAACCATTACACCATGCCGGTGTCCCAATAATTTTCTAAGCATAGCTTAGATGTGGCACAAGGCCAAAAGTATGGAACACCCAGTAAAGATCAAACTCACTACTTGATCTAGCAAGACAAGTTTGCTAAACATTACACAATGTTGAAATGCTCCATATTTTTCTTATAAACTGTTTGAATACTTTTATGAAAATGTTAGTTTTTAAAATAAGTATTATGCTAAATAGAATAAAGTGGTAATATTGCTATGGGATTTTGTTAAATACAAGTTGGAAAAAACTCAAGTAGTAATTGATGTTGAAGGCTTATTGCTAGTGAAAATTAATGTCATCTGAGATTCACAAATAGAACTCAGTCTTATGAAGCAGGAAAATCAGTCTGTAGCTGGAGACCCCTTGAGAATCTTTAAAGGCAACTCTTTTCTCAAGAGGTCTCCAGCTACATCTGTTATAGTAGAGAGCTGTGAGTAGCTCTGAAATAAGTATGCTTTGTTGTATGGGCATAAAAGAGAGACCCTTAGTAAGAGAAGAAACAGGAGAATTGGAGTTGGTCACCTGAAATAAGAAATTTTGGTGAAATGTATTGAACAAAGTAGAAGCAAAGTGTCATTAATGATGCTTCTAAAGTAGTATTGCATGACATATAATCTTATTTAATTTTATCAAAATAAAGAAAGAAGTATGTGTTTTTTTTTTTTACCCATATTTTCTTGGTATCATTTTAAACTGACATCTTTTTACCTAAACCATAAGTATAAACTAATTTTGGAAAGTGAAAATTTCACTAGAATAAATTGGAAAATTTTAATCTGAAATCAAGATAATACGAATTTTACCAAAACAGTCCCAATATATGAAAAAAAAAAAAAAAGCATCAATTTAAATAGAGGTTATTTACTCACTTTCTCACAGTGGCAAGATGTGATAGAAAGTCTTTTTGATATGGTGCTTTAATAATTGTCCAGTCCCCATGACCACTGTTACACTGACATCAATATTACACCAACACTCTCTCTCTCTTAGTGCAATGATAGAGATAGAAATCCAGGACTAGGTACCTTCTCCTTTGTAAAATAAGGAGAACAGATACTACACCTCAATCCTGGCCAAAAGGCCAAGAAGCAATGCTAGAAGAATATAAGTTAAACAAACACTGTATCTCCATTCATGTCCACTATTTTTATTACATTACTCAAATATTATCTTATCTATTGCTTCACTCACAAAATAGTGATGTTTTGTAGCAATAACAATATGCATTTTTTGTGCTGATGTATGGTTTAAGTGAATACAGAAAAGCAAACAATTTGTCACACTAGAGAAAAACTCAAAAAGTAGGTCAGTTGACTTTTGCGGGTTTTCTTTAGAAGACAGAGAAATTTAATAAAAAAAATAATCATTGTGGCAACAAAATTAAGATTAGAATGATACAAGGATTCAGCATGCTTTAAGTGCTTGGTTACAAAGAGCTTCACAATCA